TATGACTTCTGACAGTATGCTGAGCCGATAGTGTATTTGCATCTTCCTAATACTTTGGTTGTGGGGTTTTTTTTTGGTTTTTTGGGTGGTGGTTTTTTTTTTTTTTTTGGCTGAAAGAAAAGGCAAAAGTGGTAAGGAAAGTGCAGAATGTGTGATATGTACTTTGAATGTAAAATGATCAGGAATGTAGAGCTCAAAGTTTGTAGTCAACCAGCCTTCATTGGCATATATCACATAGAAACCTGCTGTTCTGGTGTATCAAAAGATACAGGAGAATGGATGTAATTACTGTGTAGGTAAACGTTAGAATATCAAATAATAATAATAATGAGATATTACTGCTTGATGTGTCAGATATTGTCTCTAAAATATTTTGCCTTTAGGTTTTGGTATTGATTTCTACAAAAGATGCTGAAAGCTTGGGAACGGCTCTGAAAAGAGCTAAAAGAATGATTAGGGTTAAAAAAAAAAAACCCAAGATTAAGCAAATTAATTTACCAATGACAAAGGTCAGATCATTAGCAAGTTGCCTATTAATAGAATCTGCACAAGGAAGACATTTCTGTTAGTAGACCATCCTTTAATCTGGGAAAAAAGAGATAATGAGAAATAGTGGCTGAAGCTGTACAAATTTAAACTAGTAATGAGAATAAAGATTTTAACCAGGGAGATCAGTAATCATTGGAGCAATACTGTGGGGGATATGGTTTTCAACTTTTTTTTTTCAATTCGTGGTTTCTGAAATGTTTTTTGTTAGAGAGTGTACCCTGCTTTTCATCAAATGTTGTGCTGGTGTCAGTGTGCTTGCTTTTCTTCCTTACCTTTCCCAGATCTCCAGATGTCCACAAACAAACCTACGGACATGATGAGTTTCTCCATTGCTAAAAGTTGCTAAGTGCAAATGAACTCTTTTCTGAAAAGTTTACCTAAACAGATCAAATTTTTGGGTGTAGAAGTTATTGGGTAGGGTCCTGTGGCGTGTGATACACAGAAATATAACTACATCCTTCTAATGGCATCTCCTGCTCATACGCATTCATATTTGCGGGGGAAGGAGGTTCCCTCTTTACCAGCAAACTAATCCCTACTATCACTGTGGCAAAGCTTCTCTCTGCTCCTTATTTCAGTTCCCTCAGTCAAGAACATCTTCATTTGCTTTTGATACTTACAGGATATTCTACACTCTTCCCCCTGCCCCTCCCCACCCCCCCCACTGCTTTTTTTTTTTTGTCTTCTTCATTTTCTTCATTTTGGGTTGGTTGTTATTTCTGGGTTTGACCAGGAATTTTTACAGCCAGAATGTCACTTCAAGATGAATCCCTACTGTGTTTGGAAGAGGTAGCTCCAGGATGGCATAACTACTGTTGTTTTGTCTGTAAGCAGTCTATCACACCCTGCAAAGAAAACTCTCAAATTTTCTTTCCAAGGTGCGTAATAAAGCAGAAATACAGATTTGGAAATTAAGTGTAAATTAGATTTGAATAAGAAGCAGTTCATACTGCTGGGTAGGTGGTGGAATTTTGACCACCTCCATTGAAGTTTGTGTAGCATGGAAAGCACATTTCATTTACAGCTGAAGATTCAATAGGAACTCAGCTGCTGGCATCTGAATTTTTGTTTCATACTACCCATCCCCTTGTGAGAGTCCAGACACCAAACAGACTAACAACAGGTACTTGGCTAATGCGTACAAACTCTAGAATGGACTCCCCTCCCTTATTTATCTCATTTTAGTTAGAAATTACTGACTTAATTGGCTTCCCTTTCCTACTGATAAGTAAACCTGTACTATTTGTACCTCTGTTCATCATGCTTTACACTGAAAGGCAGGTATGCTTTAATTGCCAAGATAAACTGCTGTCAAGATCTGTGACTCAGCAAGTACACTGGGTACCTTTGCTACTAGGGCAGTGCAAGGAATAGATTTTTAGAAGTAGATAACCAAAGAAATCTTCTATATCAATGATCAAATGTGTATGTTCCAGCTGTCAGAAAAATAAGAGTTAAATGCTGATGGAGCATGTGGTGCCATTACCGCTTTAAAAACAAAATTATCACAGTTTCCTCACAGATTGGAAGCAAAGAAAAGAGTCCATTCTCCTCCTCAAGCTTTTTTTGATATGTTTCTTCAGATTGGTTTGTATAAGTGAAGCTGGTGTGGTCTCATATATAACCTTCCCATCAGGTTTGGGTATACTCTCTGGGACAGCCTGTCTCGCATGAATGCCTCGCTATAAAAGGAAATAACTGAAATAACTGAGTGTAATTCCTATCTTTAATCTAATTTGTCTTTAGTCTGCATGTTAAAACCTCCATATTCTATAAATTAATCTGATAAATGTAATTTTTCTCTAAGTGTGCAAGAATGTCTGAAATTCCAGGCAGTTAATGCTCCAAACATTTGGAGATGCATAATAATCTCATTTATTATACTGATTTTTTTTTTGTTATGTACAGAAAGGCCCATGGGCCTTGTACAAATTTAGTCTTGCAAGCAGTTTCAACATGCCATTCATCTTTCCATGTATTTCTTTACACAGCCATTCTAAGCTGGTGTTTCTTACTTTTGCAGTGCTTACCCCATGAGCATTTAAAAAAAAAAAAAAGCCAAAAATAATACCAACTCTTGGGTATTATACTACTCAGGAGAAGTTGTGCCAGCTTTTCTCTTCGACTCTGCTAGTTAAATTTTCATGGGAAGATAATGAACCTTTGGTAATATGCTATTAAAACCGGATGTGCTTAGCTAAAAAGAAGTATTTTATAAGTTTGTTTTGCTAGGCTGTAGGTGGAAAGCACAGCTGAGATCACACTTCTCAAAATACCAGTTGATTGCTGTACGGTACCTGTTTGTCTGTCTTCTGATTGGGTAGGGCTGTTGCTGGGCTGATACTGTTTTGACCAAAATTAGAAAGTCAATATAAACGAGTCAAACTAGACTGCCTGCTTTTTTCAGTTCTCTCTTCTGATTCATCAGTTGTTTGTTTCAAATTCTTACAGCCTTTGTGAATTGGGGGTTGTGCCAGCAAAGGTGAAAGCTCTTAGTGGTTAGTCAGTAAGAATGTTCATAAAAATTTGTCTTGATGACATTTAGATGCTAGCAAAAACACAATGCCTGGTTAAAAAACAGGGGAAGTGGGTCCTACAGAGTGGTCGTATTAAATATGTGGATGTGAGAACCTATTCGTCACTTAGGAGACTGCCTGCTTCTCATATTCAGGGATAGCGTTCATCTTCTTGACCCGAAGAGGATGTTATTGCCAAGTGTCTTGTGGCAGAGGCTTGAGACCTGAAAGTTATTGATGAAGGCATGTATGAAAGAAGGATTCAATGCTTACACATTTTTTTCTCCTTCAGTATTAGTATGTACACTTTAACAAGTTGGACTGTGCCTGGTTGACTTAGGTTATTAATACCAGGGAGGATTAGAATATCTGTGAATATAACTATTATGTTTGAAGAAAAACAGCATGTAAGTTGTTTGGCAAAATTCTAGGTCGGGGCAAGTACAGCAGTTTAGCAGCTAAGGGTAGATGGTTGTGCTGTACTTGAAGAAATGCTGTTACTTTACCTGTACTGTTAAGATAAAGCTATAAACTTTTCTTTTTGGAAATGAGTAGGTTTTGATGCAAGTGACAGAGGCAAATGTTTTTATTAGTTTATACTTGAGTTAGTTCAGACTTTCAGAATATATTTTTTCTTCTTCCATACAGGTGGGTAAGAAAAAGATGGGGATGTTGCTGCATGCCATTCAGTTAGGATCCGCTAGTCTTGCTAAAAATAAAAAAAAAGCTATTTCTCAGTATGTCCAAAATGAAGCAACAAGCAACGTAATTCATATCCCACTGAAGGGCAGGGTTAGGAAGTGCTTTAAGAGAGCAACTTGATTAAATCATAGGATCTCAAGATACCGTATAAAAATAGAAAGTAGGTCTCATTTAGCAGTGATAAGAAAAAAAGGGTAGCAAGAACACGTAAAATCAAAATCAGAAAAAACCAAAGCACAAAATGAGATTCAACTAGAAAGGGATATAAAAAGAAACAATAAAACTTTCTATAGTACATGAATAGTGAGAAGGCAATAAGGACATAATTGCTGCGGTGTTCAGAAGAAGATGAGAGTTACTGACAGATGCCACATGAACAGCGAAGTGTGGAATGCCTTTCTTTGCTTGATTTTCTGAAAGGGTTAAGTATGATCAAATTATTAATCTCTACTTCAGCCTGAGTTGTTTTATCACTAAAAATGAGCTGGAGCATATTTAAGCGTCTTCAAACCAGCTAGGCCTGATGAAATTTACCCTTTGGTGCTTACGAAAGGACAGAAAGGGTAACATCTCTGGGATTCTTGAAAAGGTTTGTAGGACTGCAAGGTTGTAGGGCACCTGTCTTTAAAAGGAGCATGAGGAGGAATTGGGGAGTAGCAGACTGGTCAGTTAGATTGCATTCCTGGTAAAAATCTGGAGCAAATAGTTCAGCTATCTGTAAGCAATTGGACTTAACAAGGAAATGAGTAAGAGCTAACATGGATTTAACAGTATCAAATCAAGGGGAAGTAATTTAACGCCTACAGTGGGTAACAGGTCTAGAGAAGAAGAGATGGTGGTGGTCTTTGGCCATCATGACTAACACTTGCTTACCTGAAAGATTAGTAAGCTCTGGCCCATATGATTATTCTAGTTACATAAAGTGCTGTTTTAAGATGTTTTAAGATTACTGTGGGCTTGGTAAAAATAGATGACCTATACTAAGTATATCCCATTAGTAATTACCCCAATGCTATACTAGTTCTGTCAGATGTTTTTGGTTTCTTCTGTAAACCAGCTTATGAAAAACAGTAGCATAAAAAATGATTTCTAGTTGCTGTATTTGGCACTCCTTCAGTTGTTCTGGACCTGCTATTAACTGAATTATGAAGCAAATTAAGTATTATCTTCTTTTTAAGCAGCTAATAGCTTCTTATATTTTCCATGTAATATGGTTTATTTCTTTTATTGCAGGGTTTGGTTATCCGTATCATCTTCATTCTTGGTAATTTAACAGCAAAGAATAACCAGGCCCGTGAGCAATTTTTTAAAGAAAAAGGAAGTGTTAACACCTTGATATCATTATTCCAAACCTACCATGAACTTGATTTGAATGCACAGAAATGGTACCATGAAAGAGGAGGGGAAGGAAAAAAACACCCAAAGCATCCTTCAGAAGCAGAAGATGTTCTGATAAAACTGATACGAGTGCTGGCCAATCTCTCCGTTCATCCCAGCGTAGGAGCAGCTCTGGCAGCTGCCCATCGTGTTGTAGAATTACTTGTTACAGTACTAGGTAATAAAATCTATGTTGTGTTTGTTATCTTTGTTCAGTCTGTAGGGAGAGTTTAAGATTTTTCTACTTGACCTTCTTACCTAGGTTGAGCCATGACTAAACCGGTTCCATTGTTAAAATAACAAAGTCAATCTGCTGATATTCATAAACTTGTTTTATGTAGAAAGCCTGTCTGAGTAAGTGGAAGCATTGCTGCTTCGGTACTGACTTTTCAGTGTCTGGGGAAAGATGTTGTAGCAGTGTTTAATTCAGTCATCAGATTTGCAGATATTATCGTTAAGGATAAGCAAACAAATTTTATTTTAAATACATCGCACTGAGAGTTCCTATAAGGGAAGTCTGTTCTTATCAGGTGCTACACAGATGTGTTTGGTGGTGGTGGTTTGTTTTGGGTTTTTTTTAGGTTTGCAGGTTTTGTGACTGTTCTGGATTAAGTATTATTTTTGTTCCCTGCACCCATAACTTTCAGCCTCTTCGAAAAATTTCCTGTTGTTTTTTTCCTTTTTTTTTCAGATTTCCAACCTTTTATTTCTTTCAGGTGGAAGAGAGTGTCCTTCTCCCTCCAAATGGCGGCTTAGGACTGCAGTTCCTTTACCACTTACTGATCCCTTTGTAAATCTAATTACGGGCTAGGACAGGGCAGTCTGTTCTCCCCATAATAGAGTTTAGCAGTGACAAGATACAGCTCAAAGAACTCAGTATGTTTTAGTGTGTGATGAGAACATTAAATATTATGTAGAGGCAATCAACCTGACTGCATGCTAGTTTTCCAGTCTTACCCACCAGCTGTGGGGGATTAGAGAAGGCAGACTCACAACTTTGTCCGTTCCATCTTAAGCCCTGTAGGAGCTTCCTGGGTTGGAACTGTCTTAATCATTGTGTAAGCGCTTTTGAGCCTCAAAGCCTCTCTCTGCCACCCTCCCCCCTCTTCTTGAGCACTGTATCAGTTAGTTTACTACACAATGTTCTCTCTTCCTATGAACTTACCCCTCTTTTTTTTTTTTTTTTCTCCTTTGCTCTTGGTTTCTGAGGCCAGAAACCTCAGATAAATTGGTATGCACAACTTTCAGACTTGCTGGTGTAATTTTACACTGGTTAACATTCTGTCAGGAACTCTGAGAGAGAGAATCTTTCAAATATTGTTAAAGAAGTCTCTTCCCCCCCTGCCCCCCGCAATTTTTCATGGTAACTAATATTTCAGTGTAATAGTCCTTGGTATTTCTCTGTGTCTATCACACAGGCCTATTGCTGCATGTGGATTCTCCTCAGTTCCATCTTAAAACAGCAAATAGGATCTGTAAAATGTCTTAACTAACTAGATTTTAAACCATATTGCCTTAGTCACAATGATTTCTGTAGATGAAGAGTTGGGAAGAGTGACTTTGTATTGCCATTTTTGGATCAACTGTTCCTGTTAGCTTCTGCCATGTTACTGAAAACCAGAATAGTTCTCTGTAATAATGGCCATGTAAACTATGATTCAGTTTGCTGCTGAGATATAATGCACTGCTAAGTTATTCATGTGCGTGTGTGTATCTCCATATGCATGTGTTTGGGTTTTTTTTTTTTTTTTACTATCAGAATACAAGTCAGTTGATGACTGTGAGGAGTTGGTCATCAATGCTGCAACAACAATCAACAATTTATCCTACTACCAAGTGAAGAGTTCTGCTGTTCAAGACAAGAAGCTACACATTGCTGAAAGTAAGGACTTTTAAACTAGTGCTTTTTGTAGAGCCTTTTGAAAGTGGGAGTTATTCATGCTATATTTTTACACTACAGAAAATAGAGACACTGATAGTGTTTTGCGGTATCATATTGCAGGAATATAAAGTTCATAGGGCTAAATTCTTCCCATAATGACTTCTCATTCTTTTGGAACATAATTCTATGACTTGTGTGAAAATAGTTAGGTTGTTGACAAAACCCCTTCTTTTCCTCCCAAAAGGAATTTGCCATACTGTTTTCTGTTTAGCAATTTTTGCTAGACTTGTTCAAAATCCATATGCCTGAGCCAAAATAATCATGTTGCTTTTTACTTCTAACCAGAGTATGGTAAGAATGTTGGTGTTTTTTTTTTTTTTTTTTTTCTTCTTAGTACCTTCTAGACCTGCAAAATCTGATTTGTGTCTATTTCTGGCTTATAAATCTATTGGCAGTATAGGAGTTGTGTGATTCTCTCCCCTCTTGACAGTGTGGACAAAAGTAATATTTTAGTGATGTGTAGGAACTGCATCTGAGTTCTGGAACTCATTTGTGTTAATGTTACACAAAAGGTAGAGAGTCTATGTCTTGCATACCTTTTTCTCTCAATAGACAAGACATGGGGGGGAGGGATGGAGCCTGAAGTTCGCACGACAGGTAGAATGAGGAGTACGAAAAAATATTCTGGCTGTCAACCTTGTGCCCTGACTGGCAGACATGATATTCTCTCTAGGTAACAGTTGTGCTGTCCTGTCGTGAGTCATTTTATCACCCATATGCCAGCTGTCTCTTATTGCTAGCCAAGAGAAATGTGGAAACAAATGACTTCTCTGCCTGTCCCATTCGCTCTCCCTCTCCTTTTTTTATTATTAGCGTGTGGAACCACTCCCATCATCTTTCCTCTGCCTGAACTGAGGAGAGAGAAAACCTTTTGATGGAAGACCAGCAGGCTTCCTCCTCCAGGAGACATTTTGAGAATACTTGCTGTTTGATACAAGTGGTGGATCCCAAAGACAAAAAATAATAATTTCAGATGTCTCTTTAAGACAAGTTCAAGGCATGTTCAGTATTGCAACATTCAAAGATGGAAGTAATGGGACCAAAGCCAACCTCTTCGCTATTTTGTCCTCTCACTTTTCTGTGGTAGAAAGGTTAAGGGGTGACTGATTTGAGTCCTTTATATGATGGACTGATTTCAGTAGTTCACTTCATACTCACAGAAGACCGATGAATGTAATTTCTGTAACATCGCCCCTTTGCTGTGCACCAAAAACCTATGTAATAGTAGCTCCTCCTAGGAAATGCTAAAGGTCCCATACTGTCGGCTGAAGTTACATGCTATTCATATGTGAAGCTGCTAAGCAGGAAAGCAGCAAGCAAGTGAATGCTTCAGACCAGGGGCAATATTAAGTAGCTGTTCAGAGAAAATGTGTTTGCTTGTTATAGCAGTACTGAGAAAAAATAGAGCTAATGTCAGAAAATAATTTGAGTTTTAGGAGACATCCCACCATAAGACCATCTGTTCAGGATCTAAATCAATTCTCTTACATATTGCAACATTTTTTTTCTTCTTTGTCTTCCTGGATTTTCACATGAGCCCACTCAAAACCATATAGCAAAACTGGCTCCTATTATTACATCTCTGCTTAGGCTATCTTCTTAACTCCTCATTTGTTCCTTTGCATTTAGCCCCATATTGGAGCTTTTTGTCTCATCTTCAAAGCCTGACACAATTTGGCTGTTGTTCTACCATCAGCTCACCCTTTTCACTGCAACCAGACAGATAGATAACTGTTCCCATTTATTACATTTATTGCTGTTGCTGCTTGCATTCTGACATTTATTGATAAAAAGCCAAGCACATGTTTGTGATATACAAGTAATTGTTTTTATTTCATTTCTCTGCAAACCAATAGTGCTTTTAAAGCTGTTAATGAGCAACAATATGGATGGAGTTGTGGAGGCTGTCAGAGTCTTTGGCAATCTTTCCCAGTATCATGAGATTTGTGACTTCATCATACAGAAAAAGAGTAAGTTACTTTTGCATTTGTTGGAGTCCTGTTTTTAAATGTCTGTAGTTCTAAAAAGGAAAGACTGTTAATAAGCTGTCTCAGTTAAAGGGTAGAAGCAATCTTCTCTGATGTTTTGCAAATTAGGCAAATGTTAGAATCCAATAATAGTCATTATAAACACCATTTTATTTCAATTTCATTAAAATGGAAATACTGCAGAAGGAAAAATGTGCCATGGTATGCCTTCACAAAGGTAAATACCGTAAAGCCTCTGTTTTTCCTAAAGATTGCAATTTTGAAATTTCCCTTCAGTCCTTCAATTTCTCAGGTCCTACAGGTTGGTAGTGATATGACACGATATAAAATGAAAATTGAACTTAATTCTCATTTAGGTTCATAATCGCAAGGTTTTGATTCCCATGTTCGACAGATTGTTAGCACTTTGTAACAGGCATTGAAGATTTTTGACTACCTCCTATTTGCCTCTGGGTGAAGTAGGATACAAGTCTTCTCAAGTCTTTTTGCTTTGGGTGTCTAAAGGGCTTTGGGGAAAATGGCAACTCTTTGCTATCCACAGAAGGTGTGTCATCAGTTTAATTAAACACCAGTTCACTGTGAATTTTTTGTATCTACCTGTCAGTGCTCAAAGTGAGGTGATATGCCACAATATACAACCTCTGCTTTCAGGGATGGACATATCACCACTTTTGGAGGAGCAGGTATCTGCAAAGGGAAAACTGACACTTACTAGCTGGGTGCTGATGAGTCTAGGTCAAAAAACTTAATTTTCCACCTTGGAGAGACTGTGGTGTCGGTGCACCGAGCTCAGGAAGAGCTGAGAGGCTGCCTCTCCAATAGGCAAGACTGACTCCCCTGCTGGGGTTGCCTTCCACTGGCTACCGAGTTCAGCGTCAGCAAGGGCTGCCAGATGCTGCACGTCCGGTGTCTGCTGCTTGCCTGTCTCCCACAGGAGCCCCAGGCTGCAGCAGTCCCCACGGGACTTGGTGGAGTCTAGGGCAACCCTGCCACTCATGGGGGTAAGAACTTCCCTCTCTGAGTGCCAATTGCCCAATCCTAGGAGTTTCTGCTGACTGTGCGATTGAAAGGAGGGTGCTACTTTTAAGTTTGGTAAACTTAACCTCTTCTGACTGGATTTTCACATTGCTTTGGTGTATTTTTATACCTAGAATTTTCTATGTGTTGCTTTGGAAGCTGGTGTTTAGTGTGATGTAATAATGCCTGTTACTCTGGCTCATACGCCTGTTCTACAAATGTCAAAGTAATACGCTACAAGGTTAAATTTTTGGGTAGGATATCCCACATTTGACTGCTTTCTAAGTATACCTGTATAATAAGTATGCTGTAATGTCAGCTGTATGATAAGTCCATCTTCCCAGTAATACTGTTTCCTTTACAATCTAGTATACAAGTTCATGATTGCTTTACTTGATGCCAAGAACCAAGAAGTCTGTTTTTCTGCCTGTGGAGTTCTGCTCAATCTCACAGTAGACAAGAACAAACGAGCTCTTCTGATGGAAGGAGGAGGAATTGGAAAGTAAGTTCCTGACTATGCTTACAAAAAAGGCAAGTTCCAGTAGTTTGGCCAAGGAGTTTCAATTGGATTCTTTTTTACCAGAGCCAATAACTTGTAATAAGGATACATACCTAATAGATACTCAGCATCTAATGTTCTTCAAGAAAAAGCCTTTCATATTTTTTCACATGTTTTTTGCAAAAGCATTACAGTGATTTAGCCTACTGCAGAGCCAAGAACCACAGAATAATTTCCCAAAGATGCTCCTGATGCACACAGCAGAGGAGAGTACCGTACAACAAAGCAACTAAGGCATGGCTTTGCAATAGCTACTTGACTTAACTGTACCCTATGTGGGGTACGGTTAACAGGCACCATTAATGTTGCAAGTGTGAAGACTATTTCAAGAACTATGATACTCCGCATGGTCTCTTGCAATTTTTGTAACTACTTAGTACTGCAGCGAGAACTATCTGATGTAGCTGTGCACAGCAGAGAATAAATAGCTCCTGAGACACCGCTTTTAAAGGGTTCAAGTTTAAGGCACTTTCGCTGTAAGTGGTATTAGATCTTGAAAAACCACTGCGGATGCAACAGTTGTGGCTTTGATGTTCAGATAATAGTGGATCCAGCTTAATTGGAGCAACATGAAAGATCATGTTCCTATGCTTGTAAAGCAGTTGATACAACCCACATTTACGAAACAATATGCCTAACTTTGAAATGCTTTCCTGTTCGTACATCATATAATTACTTTTTTTTTACAATGTAAACAATGCATAGTCTGCTCATCCTTCCTTCCCATGTTCTAGTTGACTCACAAAATACAAAGCTGAAAAGAATAGAAATAAGTTACAGGCAAATTGAACAATGAATGTGAGAAATTTCTGTTATATAGAATTTCTATTATATAGAATGTAGAATATTCTGTAGAATATAGAATCATATAGAATATAGAATTTTCTATACTGTCTGAAAATTTGTGAAGAAGGAAGGAAAAACAGTAATAGTATGGAATAAATCTAGAGAACTTGGAAGTGATTGTTAAGGAGGTCATCCCGACTGAGCCAAGCCAGCTCTGTGGATTTTTGGAAATGAGGTTATTGTACCAATATATAACGGCCCTAATAAAACACGGAATTAGTCTCATCAGAGAGTTAAACTTCAGAAAATTAGGGCAAGTTCTTTTGGCTTTTCATTAGATGCCTCCCAGTCTTCCACAGTGACTGCCTTCAGACAGGAGAGAAAAAGCAAACCTCTTTTTGGTTGCTTTTCAATTACTGCTATTTTCAGCCATACCTGAATGTAATAGTTATCCCATGTTCCCTTTACTAATCACCAGATTATAAATCTCAGAGTGAAGTAGAGAAGTGAGAGAAAGAGGGGGTCGTAGGGTTGGGGAAGAGAACAGTGAAGTGAAGGATTACTGTTAGAGGGGTCACTAGGGACAGCAGGTGAAAACCACCATTCACTTCTGCTGCCCCAGGACTTGTGAACCCTGCTGTTTGGAACTCTGGATAGCTACTGTACGTAAGCTGGTGCAGGCAGAAAAGTTACAGCTTAATTTCGGAGTCCTGCTTTTGATCTAGCCTGTATTTGGTATCTGCAAGGAAGTGAGATTAGAACGTCAAAGAACCTAATGGTCCTTAATAAAACTGGCATTTCTGAGAGAAATACAAGAAGGGGCAGGATCTGCAAAATAGACTTCACTGAATGTAAGAGGTAATTCTGTGAGTCATGGAAGTAGCAAATTCCTTTGGATTTGTCTTCTGGTCAGATCCTCTGATGTGTAATAAGCTGGACATTCTGGCTGAAGCTTTTTCTGCATTCATACCGTCTTTTCCAGATGAATTCGTGGTGCCTGATAAGGTTTGGTTTGCATTGCAATCCCCTCTCTAGTGGTAGCTACAGATTTGGGACAGTCACAGGTTGTCATGAAATTTATTGGAATTTTAGTGTCTTTGAGATGGTTACATTTGTGATGTTATGTGATTGAAATTGGTCAGTTGGGTTAAAAAGTTATAGGGGATGGACAGACGCAGGCGGGCATATGTGCATATGAGTAGACAAAAGGCATGTTCACATCCTCAGGGAACTAGACTAAGCAAAAAGGGGGAAGTTACTGAGGAAGAAAGTAGCATCTTAAGTTTATTGATGTAGAATTTTCCTGCAAACTTTCATGGAGTCTGCACACGTTTCTAGACTGCCTAGATTTTGAAGGGTTTGGGAGAAAACTACATGGAGCAAACCACTGTTTTTGTTTGATACTGACAGGTTAGTTGACTGTTTACGAGACTTTGGGCCGGCTGACTGGCAGCTGGCTTGTTTGATATGCAAAACCCTGTGGAACTACAGTGAAAACATCACAAGTGCGGCCTCATGCTTTGGAGAAGATACCGACACATTGCTGATGCTGCTCACATCGCTCCTAGGTGGGATTCATAACTTTGGTCTCTTTTCCTTAATAAGAGAAATAGAAGCAGAAAAATCAAAGCAGTATTAGTTCGGGTGGGAAGTCTGTTGTGCAGCTTTAAGCAGTTGGCCGGTATAGACTATCCAGCAGCACGGTGGTCTATTGCCATTCAGCACATTCCCTCAGCTCTTACAGATTGCCAAGGTGGAATTGGCCGCTGTCACTCCCCCACTCCAGTTTGTCTCGTTAGCATGCCACTAATGCTTTTCACCAGCTGCCGTTTTGCCTGCTTGAGCCAGCTATCCCGTAGACCTTCAGCACAAAACATGCTTTTCACTGGATGTGGGCCCTTCTGGCCTCAGGAGGTCATTGCAGGTATTGACGGAAGCGGGGGCTCAGCTGTGATGCACCTGGTTACTGCACAGCATGCACCGGGCACTCTGGGGAATATGGCTTTCCCCCATAGTCGGAGGGCTCTCTGGGGCAACAGGCCGAGCTTGCTGCTTGTGACAGGAGTCCCTTGGCCGCCCGCCTGTTCTCACTATGATCTCCTTGTGGGCAAGGACAACATCCTGACCAATTTCTCATCTGTTCCTTAAAGCTAGGGAGGGTGTGCTCCTCCACAAGTACAGGCTGGAAGGTGTCTACAAGTGGATGTTAAGACCCTGATTTGCTTAGTCAGTTGGACCTTTTCATCTGCACGTTTATGTTTGCTTCAAATTTTAGAGAGTTTAATTGCTATGCAATAGTCCTATAGTCACTGTATTTAATTTTCCTCCTTTATTTTATGAGCGCGGCTTTGGTTATGATTTTGTTTTGGGTAAGTCACTTGCAATTATCTTTTTAAAAAAAAAAATCTTTAAAATGTAAATGGAATTGAAGCAAACCTTAACTAATTTTGATTTGGTTTCAATTGGAAATATACTACAGATGTATGCTTGCTGGGGAGAAGGCTGCATGTTAGTCAGACGCAGATAAAGTGAGATCCCATGGTCTCTTGGTTTTAGACAATCAGAAAAGTGGGTGGATTTGTGAGGATTTTTTTTTCCAGTTACAGTGGAGCTACTGTTATTCATTGTTGTAGTCATTCCTTGCATTACATTTCTTGCTACGATACAGCATATCTTAATGTGGGCAGTAACTCCATCTATTTATCTGAAAATACTCTGTTTCAAGATCATTAGTGTGCTTTTTAACATTCTGCAACAGAACTGCAAACTTTACAGCCACAATCATGCTTGAATTTTCTGGCATGCAGCAAGGAATATATATCTTTGCTTTGGAAAATTCATACTTATTTTTCTCCTCTGCATTTAACACTGCTTATTCCAGCAATTAATTTGACTGCAGAGTCCAGGCTGGATAGTAATTGGAACTCTCATTAACCAGTACAGCTTTCACGAACTGGAAGTTCATGTACAATTGCAATTGCAGTTACAATTGCAATTGTAATGACAATTAATTAAAAATAGGTCAGAATTAAATCCGAAGGCTCGTCTTTCTTCACACTGTAGTCGGAAGAGTAGCTCTAGAAAAAGCGTGTACTATTCATTGGATCTGTTTTCTCTCTGTGTTAAGTGCCAACAAATTTTAGCAATAGCAGCTGGTTAATATTGTCCTGCATCTTCCTCCTCCCATTGTATCCAGTAACAGCCTTGAACCGTCACCGCTCTGATTCTATCATTCAGGAAGCAGGAGGCAACTGCTGACAGTCAGGGGACTGTACTTAAGCATCAGCACGCCCTCAGGAAGCGGAAAAAGTAGAGCATGGCACAGCAGACACCTCACTTCACCTGCTGTGCTTGGCCTCCTCCCCTTTATTTTTCTTTCCCCTACCTGGCGCAAGATGACAGAAGATAGGAGGGAGCCAAAAGGGAGCGGAAATAGCCTGAAAAGATGTTGGGCCCGAGAAAGGCTGGACAAAAGGCTCCATTTGATTTTTCTTTTTCCCTGGCTGATCCCGGCAGCCTGAGACACAGTGGCACTGCTTTCCAATGGCACTGTCTTTTGCCTTCTTTCAGCTGCTCTTGAGTCTCATGTCACTTAATTGGCTCAGAGCTCCTGGAGGCTGGTGTTTCCAGGCCCCTGGCAGCAGCTTTGCCTTGCCCCCGTCCCTCAGGAGACGCAGTGGAGATGAGCCTCTGTCTTGAGAACATTCTTCTGTTTGGTCATTCAGTGAAATCTCCTTTCTACCCCTCTTTTACCAGGTGTTTTTCTTCTGCTCACCTTTACCTCTGCTATCAATTCAAGGAGGTTATTTTGGAATCTCAGTACATGCGAACTCTTGCATGGCGTGATACTAGCTTCCGGGGCTCCTGGCCCCTGTCTTGCCGGAGTTACAGGGATGGGTAGCCCTTGCAGACTGGAGTCTGTACTCTAGTTTCCAGCTTCCCCCACAGCATGCAGACCCAGTCTTGCTCCTGGGCTTGCAGCCAGTTCATATGCTGTTTGGCCAGTACCCAATTTTGCCTAGTTTTGAGGAGGGTCGTGGGAAAATTAAATTATCTGAGGATGCACAGCTTACATGTGGGACACTGATCCTTGCTGCTCCCCAGTGTTACTCACACTCTGCTTTGGGAAATGTACTGTTCTGGTTCAACACTTCATCTTTTGAACTGGTTCTGACCCTTGTTCTTGTGGGCTGGAATTCCCGACCTCAGTAATTCCATAAACATTCAATCAACTTCTGGGGGGCACAGCTGTCTGCTAAAAGGGAGAAATGTCTCTTGCTCTGTGTTAGAAGTTAGTTAATATGGGTAGAAGGATCGTTTCAGGAGTAGGCAAAGAAATTCTGCCTGAAAACAAAAACCATAATCCCTTGTCTCCCTCTTCAGGGTCTCTCATCTCTGTTGCTGAGATTCATTTTACGTATGTTGGGCTACCCTGCCGTTGATAGGACAAGAGCAAGTGGTCACAAGTTGCAATAAGAAAAATTCCAATTAAATATTAGGAAAAGAATTTCCCACTATGACAGAGGTCAAGCACTGGAACAGGCTGCCCAGAAAGGCTGTGGCATCTCCATCCTTGGAGATGTTCAGCACTCAACAGTACATGGACTAGAGCAACCTGATCTACAGGGCTCTGCTGCAGAGGTCTCTGTCCAACCTAAGTGATCCTATGACACCATCACATACAGATCTGATGTCTGAGGCTGCATTTTATCTCTGATTACAGGGTTTCTTTCCGCAGAGAGATGACATGGCTTCCTTCTTGAAAGAATGGGGTTTTTTTCTCTTTATTACAGAAAGCCTCTAAATGGTGTCTTGTCTTTATGCAGAACCCTTTTGGAATCTACCTCACAGTCAGCATCTCTCTAATTTTGGCAATTTAGGAACACTGCAGTGATGTAAAAGTCAAGCACTGTTGGCAGTTACTGGTAACTTCTATGAAATGGAGCCCATCTCCATGCAAGAGCAATGTCGTCTCTTCCGTTACAGTTGTTGCAGCTCAGGCCGTACGCTCTGCACAGGCACCTTGGCTGCCTTCTAAATGGGAAGGAATAGTTGCTGTTCGAGTGTCTCTTTCCTACACAAAGTTTGACTCAAAATGAGGGTAACTGAAGTTTCTCTTCATCTCCAAGTTGTCTTTTACCTGCTGTCAATGTGCAGTAAGCTCTCTTACAGAGTTATTTATTTAACAGGTTGTGAATCTGGTGCTCTTTCATAGTCTAGATAAAAATAAGTCACCCTGCCTGTTGGGTGCAGGATTCTATCTTCATTTTAGATCCATTTATGGCCTAAAGGCTGTCAAGTATCCCTCTGTTAAACTGCATGAAAACATTTGTTCAGCGTTATCAGTTGTGTTTGTAGATTCCTGACTCAGGAGCATGCTTCTGCTTGCAGACGCGATTTCTTTCTTCTGTAAGAGTTTATTTCTTTGCCACATCCAATGCCAGGCAAAATGGAGAGAGAATAACGAGTGAGGACTTCCTTTCATTCCTAGCATTGCTTCTCTCTCTTAAGTGTGTCCCATTATCTTATTTACAAAATTTTTGAGGAAGGGAGGGCATCAGTAATATAGTAACAGCGTGGTTCAAATTCTTTAAGTATGATAGTAGATACTGTTTGCAAGAGTCTTCATGAAAGGATCAGCAGAGCAATTTGCAACAGGAAAAACATTGTTGTAGTTAGATGAATTGATTACTTATGGTTAGCAAAATTGCTGTGGGTAACGTTAAAACCCAAGCAGTTTCCAGGCTGGCAGTCACAGTAAATGCTTGATCTTGGGGACACTGTTTTGCTACACCTGGGAGGTGTAAGAATAAGAGAGCCTGCAATACCCTTGCTACTGTTTTACTGACCTTAATGTTCTTTATTTTCAGTTAAAGCCAAGTCCCTCAGACAGTGATGCTTAGTTAAACTTGGAGTTGTTTTTAAGCCATCAGCATTACACCACTGAGAAGTTGTATGTGCTGTGGTCATAAAATAATGGTCGGGTATATTTTTATTCAGAACTGAATATGATGTTTTTCTTGATTGCAGATGAAGAGCTAGCATTGGGTTACAGCCTCGACAGAGATTTAAGGGACCACCACAAACTGTATTGGGAAAGAGAGTTCAAACCTGTGGCAGAAAAACTTCTTGAGAGAATCCAAAGCCATCACTCCCTTCTTCCAACTGTGACTATTACTCCATTTTAATCACACTTTTTTTGTTGTGGTGGTGGTGTAGATTGCACAGCTTTACATTTCTTATATACCTGTACATTGCCATTGGTAGGCATGCTGGAGAGCATGGGAAGTTAGTTTTAAAAACAGTCAGTGAAGCCTGGATATACTGGATATTACCTTTTGAGAAGCTTGTATGGAATTTTTGCAGGTGTAATTACTTTTTACAATATATTTGAGCTGATCAAGCATCTGTTCAGTGTGATTTGTCTATTAATTGCATAGTTTCTTTGCAGGGAAAATGAAACAAAACTATTTGCTGAACTTTTAATTTTTAAAAGGTAAATTACCACTGGGTACCTGGACCTCTGTGGTTCCAAAAACGCTGTGTGCTATAAAGAATGTTACGTGACAGGAGCCATATCTTACCTACAGGCTTCGACATGCTTTTACTTTATATGAAATTCTGCGACAGAGGAACCCAGATGCTATTGGGGCATTCTGCAGTGGTCAGGGGTAAAGCTGCTCCCCCTTCCTTCAGAGATCCCCCTTTACCTGATACTGTGTGGCTGGGGTATCCCAGCTCGTGTCTCAGTGCTTGAGGGATACAGGTCCAGCCATGCTGGTCAGAGGCTTTTCTGAATCGGGACTTCACATCTTAAGGCAGAACACCCATATCCCTGACTTGAGAGAAGATTTTAGCTTATCTGGGTTGTTCTTCTGGCAGTTGTTCCAACATTCCCAGGAACTGCCTGTGTGCCTGTACTCCTCAGACTGTCTTGGCCAGCTGTCTCCCCTGGGCTCATGTCTCCATCCATGGGGCAAAAAAAAGGTTCTATGTCCTTCACGTTCCTTCTGACTGCTGCTGACTTGTTTATTGCTCGGTTTTCATCCTTTCAGTGTGTAAAGTCCCTGCTTTTAGCCCATGGATTAGCTCAGCAGGTGCATCACTGGCCTCAGGCATTAACACTCCCAAGTAGCTACAGAAAGCTTTACAGACCTGACCCATTTGTCTCTTTTCTGACCTCAGATTACTGAGAATAAGCCCCTGTGCAGGGGCTGCCAGGCTCCTGGCCCTGATCCTTCAGGGCAGCAGCCTCGCACTGCACCAGGAGAGCAAGTCTCCAGCCTGGCGATCCCTGCAGAGAGGCTGAAGGCATTTGTGTTCCTGAGGAAGCAACTCTGAGCTCCCTCAGCGGCACCACTCTACCGCTGGCTGCGCCTGGACCTCTGCTTCCAGGTGAGGAGACAGAGCGAGGAGGCTGGGAAGTAGAAGGGCAGGGAAAATTTTTTTTCCTGGAGTAGGTCCCTGCTTCTACATTCTCGGGGGCATCCTTACTGTTGGTGGGGCAGGGGAGGGGAAATTTCATGCTCCAGATTTTAGGAGTGGTAAGGGGAAAACTTCGGTGAAGGTAATGGAATTAGCCATGTTCCTTTTGTCCCAGCAGCTTGGGTATTTCTTGTGACCAGCAAGGCTCAGCCCTGCAGTGAATCACTTCAGGAGTGTGTGTGTGCAATCTGCAGAACTGCTCAGCAGTTCAGTATCGTTTGGCTCCTGATTTGAGCTCTGCTGAGCTCAAACAGATCCCAGTTACCCTTCCGTCTTTAGCCACTTTAATTTTAGCTGAAGTTGAGGGAGAAGGTAAATGGCTTTGATTCATTTCTCGGAGTTGCTTTTTGGGGGTATTAAAGAAAGGACGATGGGTAAGTACTGCACTGTGGGGATGGAGCTGGAGGCATTTGTTCTTGGCATTCACATCAAGGCAAAAGGCAAGCAGCAGGCTGTGTAACGCAGGGTGGGGACGCGGTGGAGAAGGCCTTGTGGCCAAGCCCTGTCAGCAGGCCTGATCAGAATTGACAAGTGCCGAGCATCCATGGGAAGGCAGCCTGAAACCGGCGTTCTGCTCACGTCAAGGTGGATGTGTAGGCGCTTAAGAGTTGTTCAAAGGAAACGCGAGTTAGGTCAGTCATCGCCCATCAGACTCAGCAGGGGCCTGGAGCGCTGTGCGGCGTGTGTCCTGTAGCACAGGGTGAATTTGGGTATCCCCCAGTGGGGCGCAAAGCTGGGGCAGCTGCTGCGCGTGAGCTCTGGCCTGCGACCGCTGGGGGAAGAGGCGCGTTCAGCCAGGCTGGGTCGAGCAGAGCAGGCAGCAGCGGCCTCGGAGCACCCAACAGCAAAACCCAGCAGTGGCTGCGTGGAGCTGCGCGGGCCCGTGTCTTACTCTGAACAAAACTTGGGGGTAACAAGGAACGAGCCCCAAAACGCTGAATTTCTGATGTATTCTTGTGGCTGCTTCCGCCATTTGCGTGCCTTTGCCACAAGCCTCCATGCAGAAGCTCTCTTCTGATGTCAGGAGCCCATTCCTGTTTAGTGACCAAGTACCTGCCCTCTCTCATGCTGCTTTTCTTCATCCGGGGTGGGGCGGGGTGTGCGCACACCACACACGTGCACAGCGTTCTGAACTGAACCTACAGAGACGATGGAAAAGGTGAGGGCTGCTGGGGAGGGCTGGTAATTGCCGCTCGCAGGGGCGATGCCTCTGCTGAGCACAGACTCAAAGAAAATCCTGTGTGGGTGCTTGGGTTTTTTGGGTTTTTTTACCAGTGTCCCACCTGGGCCCAGGCAGCCAGCCATTTAGTTCCCTTCGTGCTCCTTCCCTGCCTCGCCTGCGGTTTGGACAGGATCCCCAGCCCACGCCGTCTTTTGGGGTGAGTTGCCACTACTGCTTAGTGCCCACAACATCTGGAGGCTCCGCAGGGGCTACTGGGGAGCCCTCGGGGCTTACAGGCTGCACCAGAGGAGGGCAGCTCATGCCCACCAGTGGCAGGCGGGGCTGCTGTGGCTTGTCCCCCATGCCCTGGCATCCCGACGGGGCTGTGGCTTGTCCCCCATGCCCTGGCATCCCGCGCAGCTGCTGCTCTGGGCAGCCCTCACCACTTGCATGGAGTGTCTGCTGACTTAACCATTTTTCTTGCTTTGTGAAGACCAACCCCACCAAACGCCTTCGGTTGCCACTCTGCTTAACAGCCTGCCTTGTTCTCTTCTACTTAGGACCACAAACGCCTCGGTGTTTTTCATGGAAAAAAAAATCCCCAAAAGTTTTCAGGCCATTTCTTGAAGTAAGTAACTTTGTGTGTGGTGAGGAATGCCTGCACGTTGTGGTTGGCGCTCCCTTTGAGGATGGGACCATAGGAAACCGCTGACCCACGCGCTGCTGTGCTTACTGCTGCAGGTACCTGCGTGTGCCCGGAGAGCGCAGGGTGGAAATGGCCAGTTTAGGCTTGGAAAAAAACCAACCAGGAGAAGGAGGTGCTGCAGAAACTCCATTTGCAGCCTGGGAAGACTCTCCTTCTGTGTCCTTAGGCATAGCTTGGCTTTACGATGTGCCCTTAGACAGGAAAGTTGTGCTCTGTTTTTGGAACATTAAAAATCCTGTATTTTTAGTTAAGAGGAAACGGCAGATGCTTCCTGTTAGTCACAATTTTTGACAGTTTATTAATCTTTCTCCCCTAGATCTTTTTAGGTATTTTACCTTCTTGGACTGTAAGCTTAGAACTCTTCTCAGCATGTTCTGTAGTAAGAGAAAGCAGTCTGAGCTATCTGAGAACCGGGCTAGGGGACAGAAATCTTAATTTAATGCTACCTGTGGGATTGGGAAAATCCATGTCTTTCCTGCCATACAAATAAGGCTCCTACCTTCCTGTGAGCAGGGAGGAGCTTCTACACGCGTGTGTACCATACCCCCGTTGCAGCCAGCTGTGGGAGCGTGTCCAGGAGAGCTTGTCCCTCCCTTGTCGCAAATCTCCCTCCTGGTCCCTCCTGCCCTATGTTCCTCAGGCTGCACAGACCTGACCCTCCTCCGGGTGCCAGATACCCTTTTGGCAGTAGCCTCTGAGAATTAGCAGCCTAATCTGGAGCTAAAAGTTCACTACCAAAGGCTTTTCAAGTCAGTTTAACTCCCAAATTCACGTTTAGACCTAGTTGTTATTGAAAAGAAGTGATTCTATAACGATACAGTTGGCATCTCCAAGCATAGCGGGCCCATTACCTGTTGTTGCAAATGAGTGGAATGCACCTCGTGCAAACGAGAGCAGCAGCAATGTGGTTTATTGTGGTAAAATGGTAATTCTGAGAGAGGTCAGCGAATTTGATGGAGTTAACGAAGTTTAATAATGGGGGGTCTGCCTGGGTTCAATAAGGGTGAGGGTAAGGTTCACCTTATTAATTACTGCCTGGAAGAAACAGGCAAAGAAAAATTCAGCTACACTTGAGTTAGAGTGGGTCACCAAGAGAACCAGGGCTGTAAAAGGGTAAGGAGGACCCTCCCCTTCAGTCACGAGGTGCAGCGTAGACCCCCCCGCCTGCTAAGCGCCTGCTCAGAGAGGACTTGAGGTGCAGCTAAGTGCAAAAAAAAACCTAGTCTCAGACTTGGTTGATGGTTTATGTGTAAGGGATTGCAGATGCAAAGCTCACACAACGTCTCATTAGCGTCAGTTCAGCAAGCAGTCAAAGTTACTGCGGCACAAATCAAAGTTGCCACAGTCACTTCCCAGGGGCCTGCTGTTGGTAAAAGGTCTCTCTGCCTCGAGGAGCAACCGTGAGAGGCGTCCCAGCTCAAGGGGCGATCCCTGCCACGCTGCCGAGTGGGGAGTGCTCAGAGGTGGCTCCCTCAGGCTGTCCTATTTATGGGATAAAGTGGTGAGCTCACAGTCAAAGTGCATGCGCCGGGAAAGGTGCGCCAGAGACACCTCCTATCCGCACCTTTGTTCCTTGATGGATGAGTCTTGGAAAAGCCCCTGCTATTCGTGTGTCAGGGGTGAGATGGGTGGTCTAAGCTCATACGCACCGATGCTCTCTGTGCCCCTCGGCTCCTTTGTGGGTTTTCGGAGACCAGATTGAAACTTGGGGAGTTCATGGCCCGGCCCCAGCTCAGGCCTTTACCTCTTCTGGAGCCTGCACCAAACTGCCGCCGGTTTGGTTAAGGGGTCACACGCGTGAGGAAAGCAGAACCCCCATACGACAGAGCGTATCAAACTGCCGCCGGTTTGGTTAAGGGGTCACACGCATCCGTCACACCTGTGAGGAAAGCAGAACCCCCATACGACAGAACGTATATGAGGAGAGGAGGGAGGACTAGGGGAAGGATGAAAACATGAGGAACGCGTGCGAGGAGGTGCTCCTACTACAGCTGTAGTGAAGATCTAAATCTATTTTTGAAACTTTTCCTCCCATCATTTAACATTCCGTTGAAAAAGTCACAGTTTGTCATCATGTTTGCTCAGTTACCGTTTCAAACATTCTAAAATAGTCTTTGAAGCCGTGAGCGAGCCAGTAAGAAGGGAAGCGTAGAAGTGAAATCACACAAAAACGCCAAGAGAAAAAGTTGTTACCTTTATTTAAAAAATACCAATAATACTGACAAATTTAAAAAGCAATTCACACTCATACAAAAGTATTCATGTGTTCTCCAAACCCACTGGATATTAAATGTCAGCATTTTAATCGTGTTTTGATTTACTAAAAATAGATGGGTTTTAGCCTAGTTATTTAAGCAACGGCAAAAAAAAAACCAAACCAGTAAGACCAGCGTTGGGCATGTAATACAGTAGGGCTGTTGGGCAGCCTGGAACGACGTTCCCACACCTTGTCCTAGCTCCTCAACAGCTCTCGCTTCATCCCTGAGGAACAGGACAAGAAGCTACTCGACCCCTGGGGTAGGCAGGTCTCTAAAAAGCGCTGAGGACTGGAGTCCTCTTCTTTCCATAGGAAGACCATTGCACTTCGGAGCTCGCCAAGTAATGCCGACCGAACGTCCTGTAGCATTTTAAGGCTAAACTATTTGAGAAAATTGACTGCTATCTTTCAAATTATCAGTGTGGACAGAAGAGTTTTAGTTCCGATTAAAAAAGGAATCTAAATAACAAGGCTTTTTCCAAACCACACACAATAAAGGCTCAGACAATAGCAGTGCTCACTTTCACTTTTAGCTTAACTGGAACAGCCTGTGTCTGTTCACTCCACCAGCACAAATAGCAGCATCAAGATTTTCTAAAATTATTCT